TGGCCTCGCTGCCCGTGGGGTGCACTGGGGCTGGTGCCGGGGGCAGGGGGGACATGGGCCCCCTGGCAGAGGGGACAGCAGCTCCTGGTGACTCTGGGATCCCACTGCCAGGGGGGACTGGCCTGTCCCTGCTGGCGGGRTCAGGGTACACAAAGCGTGGGGCACCCAGGGCAAGGCTCTGCGGCCGCGGCAGCAGCGATGGGTAGAGGTGCCCACCCGAGCTGGCGATGGAGGAGACGGTCTGAGCCACGCTCATCACTGCCAGGGAGAAAACATTGGCCAGGGACAAGAGGGGGGCAGTGGGGGACAAGGGCGTGCTGGTCGCAGGGGGGCTTAGGGGACTGCTGGGCTCACAGGGGACAGGGGATGTGGGGAGAGGCTGTGGGGACAGCAGAGCTTGGGGCAGGGCTGGGGGGACAGGCCCCCCCGGGGTCCTGGGGGGGCTCAGTGGGAATGCTGGTGACGACGTGAGCCAGGAGGGAGTCATCGAGATGAGGGGCCAGGTCTGCGCTGAGCCTGCAGGGAGAAGCACCAGGAGTAGCCCCGAGGGCTTTACCCCTGCCCAGGCACCCCAGAGCCCCCAGCCAGCGAGTGGCCAGCAGCCCCAGTGCAATGAGTGTGTCCACTCTGCCAGCTCTGGTACCTGTGGGTGACTCCAGTGGCACCGGGGCTGCCAGGGGCTCCACGGGACTGGCCAGGCTGGTCTCGGACGGGGAGCGGCTCAGCGATGGCAGGACAGGGGACTGCACAGAGAGGCTGGGACTGGTGCAGCCCAGGTCTGTGGCACAGGGGTGACAGCCAGGCTCAGCCAGGGTGGGACACATCCCCTGAGACCTTCTGGGCTTGGCTTGAGCGTCACCTGCCCTGCATGGGGTTTGGGGGAGACAGGAAGGACCAGGAGGGGGACACAGACGTACCACTGAGTGAGGATGAGGAGGAGATGGAGCGCGAGAGCCCCTGCAGCTGCAGGTCCACCTGYGAGAAGGACGAGCTGAGCCCAGCACGGGGGCAGAGACCCTGACCAGGCTGTGCCAAGCCCCGCTGGGCCCCACCCTGGCCCCAAAACCTGTGGTGACACGAGCTGGAGACTCTTCCGGGCAGGACAGCACCGTGACTTGTCCCAGGAGCGGGCAAACAACCACGGGAGGACCCTGCACCCCAGCCCCCTCCCCTGCGCTCCCTGGAGCCAGGCAGCACCCCAAGCCATGCTCAGCAGCAGCAGCAGCAGCTTCCCCAGCGCTGGCGGGGCCAGGCTGGCACTCACGGGGCTGCCCACACCACTCTCGGCCTCGGGGCCCTTGGGCAGCTCGGTGCCGCCGCGCCCGTCCTTGCGGAGCAGCGTCTCCACACGGTGGATGATGTCCCGGATCCGGCTGACGAAACTGTCCCGCTCCGACTTGAGGATGAACTCGTTGTGGACCTGAGGGTGGAGGGGCCGGTCAGAGCCCAGCACGGCCGGGCAGAGCCCACCTTCGCCCTGCCCCCGTGCTCACCATGACTGCTGCGATTTCCTCCGGGTTGTCCCCGTCCAGGTCGAACTTGAAGGTCACCATCTTGTTGTTGTAGGTCTGCAGCTGGCATTCCACCACTCGGTCACTCTTGTCAGAGATCTGTGGGCGGCAGAGGTGGCTCAGCCCGGGAGAACCCTCCTGGCACCCTCCTGGCACTCTCCTGTCACCCTCCTGGCACTGCCATGGCACTCACGTTGGTGATGCGCAGCCTGGAGCGGGCTCGGCGCCGCAGCAGCTTGCCCGAGGCTCTCTTGGGCGGCAGCTTGGCGCTCTGCTCGCTGGCCGAGAGCCCCTCGCAGCCGTCGCTCATGCCCGATGCCACGTCCGAGGTGTAGCTGCAGGAAATCCCGGCTCCGGACCATCAGCACGGCCGTTCCCGAGCAGCACACTCACACTGCCCGCCCAGSCCTGCCCGAGCCCCCAGCCTCACCTGTCCACCGGGGAGGAGAAGCCGCTGGCGGGGGGCAGGCGCTCGGTGGGGAGCTGCACCGCGATGCTCTGCAGGGACAGGACGGGGTGAGCCGGTGCCGCGGCTGCCCCGAGCCCCGACCCARCCCCCGGGGCCGTGCTCACCGTGGGGAAGCAGCGCACGGGCCGGCTGGGT